GTTGAGTCAAATCAAATTTATTTTATAAAATCTTTCAATTTGATTTGATTCGAGTTATATAAATTTTAAACTTGACTTAATTTAACTTGACTCGATTTTAACTCGATTCGATTTTGAAAAAAAATAATAAAAAAATGAAAAGATCAGAAAGGAGGGAGTGAACAATTTAAATCATCATTCTTCTTGAACGATATTTTTATTATTTAAGTATTGTTCTTCTTGAACAATTTTTTTTATTATTCAAGTCAAATGATTTCTTATCGTTCTTCTTAAACAATTTTTTTATCATTCAAGTTGAATGATTTTTTTATCGTTCAAGTTGAATGATTTCTTATTATTCTTAAACAATTTTTTTATCATTCAAGTCGAACGATTTCTTATCATTCTTCTTGAACAATTTTTTTTATCATTCAAGTCGAATGATTCATTATTGTTCTTCTTGAACAATTTTTTTATTGTTTAAGTCAAATGATTTCTTATCATTCTTCTTGAACGATTTTTTTATCGTTCAAGTTGAACGATTTCTTATCATTCTTAAACAATTTTTTTATCATTCAAGTCGAACGATTTCTTATTGTTCTTCTTGAACAATTTTTTTTATCATTTAAGTCGAATGATTCATTATCGTTCAAGTCGAACGATTCATCATCATTCTTCTTAGACAATTTTTTTATCATTCAAGTTAAACAATTCATTATCATTCTTCTTGAACAATTTTTTTATCATTCAAGGCGAACAATTCATCATCATTCTTCTTGAACAATTTTTTTTATCATTTAAGTTGAACGATTCATCATTATTCTTTTTGAACAATTTTTTTATCATTCAAGTCGAATGATTCATCATTATTTTTCTTGAATAATTTTTTTATCGTTCAAGTCGAACGATTTATCATCGTTCTTCTTAAACAATTTTTTTATCATTTAAGTCAAACTATTCAATCATCATTCTTCTTAAACGATTTTTTATCATTCAAGTCAAATGATTCAATCATCATTCTTTTTAAATGATTTTTTTATCATTCAAGTTATAGATGCCTGCCGAAACCTCCTCAAAATAATTTCGTCATACCCTTTTCTATGTTTTTAATATAGTTTCGACAGTTTCGACTTTCGTCGTATCGAATGGGTTTCGTCGTATCCCTTATTATGATTTTAATATAGTTTCGTCTAAGTTTCGACTGTTATTAAGGGGTTTCGTCCCTCATCTATAGTCTAAGTAAATTTTCTTAAAAAAGATTATTTTTTTAAATAGCTAATATTTCAAAAAAATTAAAATTGTAAGTTTTAGTATTTTAAAATATATAAATAAAAATCATTTAAATAGATTTTAGATTGATATTTTTGATAATTATAAAGAAATTTTTCTATAATATATCATTTTTGAAATTGCAGTTTATTATGTATATTTATTAATAAATTATTTCATACTATCACAAATTTTAATTATTATAAATATGTAATAATATTTTTTTTAGAATATTTAAATTATATATTTATTTTCTTTTTTAAATTACATAAATTTAATAAAAAAAAAATTATATCTTATAATTCTTTTTAGTATAGATATTATTTAAAATAGATATATTAAATCCTAGATTGATTATGATAATTAAATTATTAATATATTTAAGTATGTTATTTATCATATTCTCATTATCTTTTATTTTTTATTCAATTATAAACTTATTTTGAATTTTGTAATATTATGTATATAAATACTACTACAATTATGATTACTGATTGTCACTACATATAATATCTTTAAAAAATAATATTATTATAATTAAGACTTAGATATTATTCACCATTTATAGTAATATATTCATAAATAATATTTTGATACTTTTTAATATTAAACTTTGTAAAAATTAATAATATCCAAATACTAAATAGTAGTTACAATTAAATTTATTAAAGTTGAATTAAATAAATTAAAAATTAATTAATAAAAATAATTATTTTTAATGATTTTTTTTAATGTTAATACACAATTTTAATAAAAAATATTTATATAACATAAATATTCAAAAAAGCTTATTTTTTATGAATAAAAAATAAGTTTATATAAAAATCATGTTTTTTATTTTCATATGATAATAAAATGATTTTTATTTTTATATACTAATATAATTAAAAATTCTAATATTTGTTTATTTATTTTTAATTGATATTTTAATCAACTAGCTCTAAATATTAATATAACTTCCCTCTTCATTTTTATAATATTCATATTCTAAATCATTTTTATTATCTTTTAAAATTAATTCATTAACTTTTCTTCTTTTCAATATTAATTTCTACATTTTTTTTTACCTGATATTTTCTAAAATTGAAAATTGAATCATTTTTAGAATCATCTATCTTTATAAAAATCTTATAGCACTTGAAGGATCACTATATTATTGCAGGATCAATATATCCTATGTGTCTTTAATTTAGATCACTATTAGCAAGTATAATGATCATTTAATTTTTCTGTTAATATATATTTCTTTATAACTTCATCTATTCATTAATTGTAAACATATCAAACTTATAATAAAAACAAATTAATAAAATCTTTTATACTAATATTTTAGATTTACAAAAATATAATAGATAACAAAAATATTAGACTACTTATTAAACTAAGCAATTTTACTAATCGATTTTTTATTTATATTAGAAAATTGGTAGAATTTTTTATTGAAAATAGATTTGAATTATTATAATTCAAGTGAAAAATTAATACCTTTACAAATATAATTTATTGGTCAGACCAATATTTTTTTTAACTTGACGTGAATATAGACATTATATTATTTAACATAGCTAATAACTACACAGTTAATTGAACGCCCCTCAAAAAAAAAACTATTTTCCAATTTCATGTGAATCAATAGTAACGGATTTTGTCTAAAATAGCATTATTCATAAAAAATTAATAATATTTCATAGAAAAATATCATTTTGCGCGTAAGATTCTTACCTGATCATGAATTTTATAAATTCCTCCGCTAATTCAAACATGTTATTACGTAAACTAATAAAGGAGGAGGAAGAAAAATTAGAAGCAGAAAGGAAAAAAATAGCCGAAACAGATGCAATTTCAGAAGTAGCATAACAATAATTTGTGCGTCCTTAGTACGTTCTTTAATAATGTTAGCGACGATTGACACATTGCGAAAATCCAAGGCCGCATCAATCTCATCCATGCGAATACCAAAGCCAAAGAACTAAGTGTCTGTATTTTGACAAATAAATATTCATTAAATATCAAGTAATCTTAAAATGAACATTGGAAACATACGAAATACCTTTTCTCCACCAGATAAATTCGAAATATTTTTTCCAACTCTTTTTAGGCGACATAACACTAAAAATAATGCCTTCAGAAAAAAGGATCCAAGCTGTCACAACATTCAAGTTCAGCATTTCCTCCAAGAGTAATCATCTAAAAACAAATGCTTGTTTATATTTTATGTAACATACGTTGAGATATAAAGTGTCGTTTAGATACTTGGTACATTTCTTTGAGTTTCCGAGATATCAAAGTGAAACCATGCATGAATTTTTCCAACCGTTGCTTTCTTAAACGATCATATTCCTTTTTACACTCGTCACGCTTAGAAGTAATCTTTTCAAAATCTCTAACACGTGACAAATACTCTTATACGATAACCTTCCAAAACACTTAGATTTGGATTGGCATTTTGTATTTTCTCTGGGTAAATTTTTTTTTTTAAAAAAAAAATATATAAATATATAAAAAGAATAAATAGAATATAAAAAAGATAAATTAATATATTTTTAAGATCATTGTATTGTAACTTTGTCCATTGCATTGAGCTCATCATCAGTGTAAATTTGAAATTCTTGCTTATCATCACCTCTATTTATAAATCAATTAGATAAATGGTAGAATAAATATTTAAAAATATCATTAGCACGCTTACCCAATCTCATGAAGTGTAAGTTTGCTAAGAGAATCTCGCCAATGAATTTCTTTCTGTTTATTTTCTACCAAATTGCGCTCACTATCTTCGACCTGGGTTTTGATTTTTAACTAATACAATACACAGTGTGATTGGTTATAAAAAAGATTTGACGTAATGATAGGAAAAATAAAAAATATAATTATAAACTTAATCCGATTAATTATTTCGGTTGTTTCATCAAGTTTTTCCTTGATCTCATCTAATTCTTCTTTTTTGCTTTCCAATATCTAAATAATTAGGAAAAATGTAAATAAGTATTATATATATATCTTTTAAAAAAAAAACAGATATAATTAAACAAAAGTCTGAATAAATACTGATATGGCTTCATCGGCTTTAATACGAATGGAACGCGAAACTTCGGTTTTCTGTTGAATTTCTTTCGTAAGCTTTTTTATTTCATTATTTAATTCTTCTAATCCTCCTTCACTTTTTGCTAGAGAAATTTTCGATTTTAATCCTATCCTTTTCCGTCTTTGATTTGGCCACCTGAGATTTGATAATTCGCTCATTTATTAAAACAAGTTGTTCTTTAACATGATCTATTTTTGACTTCTGAGCTCGAAGTTTATCACCCCCAATTTCCAAAATCTTATCTTGCAAAATCTTAATCTCCTCTTCAATTTTATAACTCTTGTGTTAGATGATCAATTTGTATTCCGAAGTTGTCCCATACGCCTAGTATCATCTATACTTGGATTATTTTTTTGCCTTATAGAATAAAAAATAAAAAAATGATTACTATTAACCCTTAACAAGAATTTATTAGTTAAAATACAGTTATGCATACCGTAACCCGGCTACTCTTTTTTCAGTATAGAAAATACGGTTTGCGCAAGCACTCGCACCCATCTCTAACTTCAATAGCTCAAACTCTAATTTAGAGAGTTCATTCTTTTCTCTTGAAATCGTGGTTATAATGATCTAATCTTTTCATTTAGTTCTTTCCACTGCATTTCAAAGTGGCTACGGTCATTTTCCAATTTCGATATTGTCTCGGATGTTATGTCCGAAGAAAATTTCGAACTCATGTCATCTTTAAAAACTTGGTTACCTCCGCCGCTCATAGTACCAGATTTGTCAATCAATTGACCATTTAACGTGAATACGCGCCATCGAGTATTAGTAAATGCGATCCTATTCGCTTGTTGCAGATTTTGGGCAACCAAAGTGTTTTGTAACA